CCTCTGGCATTAGTAAAACAGTATTTCTTAGCCCAAAACATCATTTAAAATATCATTTAAGTCTCAAAAAAGAATAAAAATGGTTGAGTGGTAAAATAGTAGAAAATAGCATGACTGAGTTTGATTAATAAGTCAAAGCAGTGAGGAAATAGTAATAAAAATCCCCGAAAGATACAAATAGTTGGCACAAAGCCCAAATATGGCAATCAGCCCAAATAATAATGATAGCAGATAGTTTTCAATCAGATACGCGGTAAAATCATCAATCGGGACGGACCAAGTCACAATCCCCAATAGTGCATGACTCCACGCTCGTCATCGCGCATGTGCCTCACCTTAATATAGCACTACGATGTGCAATTCGGGGTTTCAAACCCTCAGAACATCATTTACAATCATTACTCACCTCTATCCGGTCCGAACTCTAGCCCGTGATGCCTTTGCCTCTCGAATCGGCCTCCAGATGCTCCAAATCTAGCCGAAATCAGTACAAAAACCATCAAAATATGCTAAGGGAACAAAGCCCACTCGAAATTAATCAAATTACCACAAAATTTCCGAAATTGGTCAAACCCGACCCCCGGGCCCACATCTCGGAATTTGACAAAAAATCACAAAACTATAATCCTTATACTCTCAAGAGTCTAACCATACAAAAATTATCCAATTCCGATACCATTTGGTCCTTCAAATCATCATTTTACATTTTTGAAAGATTTCACAATTTTCTTCTCAAATTCCATACCAAATCACGAATTAAATGATGAATTCAATGATAGATTCATGTACTCTAGCCAAATCTGAGTTAGAATCACTTACCCCGATGAATTTCTTGAAAAACCTTCGAAAAATCGCCAAAATCCGAGCTCTCTAGGTCAAAATATCAAATAAAACCAAAAATCTCGTATTTATAGAGTACTCTACTGATTTCCACCTCCGCGTACCACACAAAAACAACCGTGGTCTGCATAAAACCAGTGCGGTCCGCACAAACACGACCGCGGCCGCACAGGTTTTCCTCTGCAGTGACAGGCTTTAGTATTGTGGATATAACTTTCTCTACAGATGTTCAAATTGTGATATCTTTACCTTTATGGAAACTAGACACGAAGTGCTACAACTTCCATTTTTGAATTATCTCAAAATTCCTTGTGGGTCAAAAGATATGAGCTTCCGAAATAGAACCAATGAAATGTTCTTCACCGCGGCCGCACACCATTTTGTGCGGTCCGCACAGCACCTACCGCGGCCGCACACCATTTTGTGCGGTCCGCACAGCACTCACGGTGGACACACTTCATTTTGTGCGGACCTCACGGGTGAGTTCTGAGGCCTGCAACCCTTCTGAACCTGCTACAGCTATGATTTTCGGCCTAAAACATCCCGGAACCTACCCGGAACTTCAAACCAATTGTACCAACACATCCCATGACATCGTTCAAAACTTCGGAACGCTCACAACAACATCAAATCACTAATTTAACATAGGATTCAAGCCTAAGAACTACAAGAACTCTTAAATTATGCTTTCGATCAAAAAGTCTATCAAATCTCGTCCGAATGGCCTGAAATTTTGCACACACATCCCAAATGACACAACAAAGCTACTGCAACTCTCGGAATTTCATTCCGACCTTCATATCAAAATCTCACCTATCAATCAAAAAACGCCGAAATCTCAATTTCGCCAATTCAAGCCTAAGCCTGCCACGGACTTCCAACATGCATTCTAATCATGCTTCTAAGTCCCAAATCACCTAACGGAGCTAACCAAATCATAAAAAAAATAATTTCAATCCGAGATCAAATACAAACAAGTCAAATCTTGATCAAACCTTTCAAATTCTAAGCTTTCAATTGAGACTGTTCTTCCAGATTCATTCTGATTAACCTGAAACCCAACGCCAACAATTTACATAAGTCCTAATACACCACATTGGGCAAGTCATGCCCGAGAACTGGAGAGCAAAGTGCAAAAGCCCAAAACGACCGGTCGGGTCTTTACAACTATAGTCAGCTAAACTTATTAGTATGATTAGTTAGAAAGGTAGTTAAGAAGTTAGTAACTAATTAGTTGTATTAATACACTATAGTTACTTCTTTGTAAACACAATTTCATTTCTTCTCTTCTTAAAACAATAACTATGTTTCTCTGAGTTTTCCTCTTTGCTTCCTCTCCAAGTCAAGCCTCCAGCTAAGAGCTTCCATAGCTATGGAAGCTAACATGGTATTAGATCTCGTGGTGACGATCTCAGTCTATTTCCTCGCTCAATTGTGTGTATGTGTGTTACTATAATTCAACTAAAGTGTCTGAATGTAACAACACGTCTGAGCTAGGGTTTTCAATTTGATCAACTGAAAAGCTTCATCAATGGAGACAGGAGACAAAACCAGCAAGAGTACATTGAGACATGTGAATGTACCAGTGGCACTTGTTATTTTCCCTACAATTGATCATAATCATCCTCTATTCCTTCAACCGACCAATATACTCCAGGTAGCTCACTCATTTCTCTTCAGCTAACAGGCTCAGATAATGATACTTTGTGGAGTCGATCGATGAGAATAGGTCTGTTAGGTAAAAGTAAACTAGGTTTTATGGATGGTCGATACCCAAAATCTAAGTTTGAGCTTGAATTTCATGAGCAATGGGAAAAGGTAAATGTTGTAGTACTCTCTTGGATTATGAATGTTGTGCGCCCAAGACTATTGAGTACGGTAGTATATGCTTCTAATGCTCATAATGTGTGGGAAGATCTGAAGAGGTTTGATAAAGTGAAAGGATCTACGGTTCTATACCTGCATAGAGAGATTCATACATTAACACAAGGAACAATGAATATGGCTGACTATTTCTCTAAATTAAGGGATCTATGAGATGAGTTTGATGCACTCATGCCCTGTCTTGGTTGTCCCTGCCCAGAATCAAAAAAATATGCTAAGCATTTTGAGTATCATAGGTTACTTCGGTTTCTCATGGGACTGAATGACTCTTATACTCAAGCTCAAAGCTAAATCATGATAATGACACCAGTGCCTAGTATTAACAAGGCATATTCTCTACTTATAGATGTGGAAAGCCAAAGAAATCTGGCAAACTTCACTCAAATGGTGCAAGTGACAGAAATTGGTGACAGTACTGCTATGAATGGCAACAGAAATCCAAATCCTGGTACTGGACAGTTCAGAGCTCATAAGAAGATAGTGATTTGCGAGTACTGCAACTACAAAGGCCACACCAAGGAGAACTATTTCAAGCTAATAGATATCCTCAAGACTTCAAGTCCAATTTTAAGACAAAGAAGAAGGGGGCAACTTAGGAGTATATGCTAATCATGTTAGCACTGCTCCCAACTACAGTCCTACTATGCAAAATACTCAGATGCAAATGCAATTTGGAGGTATACAAGGCAGAGGAGAAGGAATAATAGGTGGACAGCAACAAATGCAAGTGTCTTCTTCACCTGAATTTCAGCATATGCCTCAACAAATGCAGATCATGGCTTACCAACTTGATTTCAGACTCGGCAATAAGCACTAACTCCTTACTTTACTCATGAGCAATATCAACAGATAGTTCAGTTACAAGGGGCAGATGAAGGTCCTTCTACCAGAGCTGCAACTGCAAGTAAACTGATAGCTCTATTATCCAATCATGTTAACCACAATTGGATAATAGACTCCGGAGCTTCAAATTATATGACATCCACATTAGAGATGTTAAGTTCCTATCAGTTAGTTTCACCTCAAAATGGAAGTAAGCTTCACTTTCCTGCAAGAAATGTTGCCTCTATTTCACATATTGGAAAAACAAGTGTGTTTAATGAGAGGATATCAATAATGTAATGTACATACCAGAGTTTAAATACAGTCTGTTGTCTACGTCTAAATTGGCCAAGGAGTTACAGTGTTTTGTGGCATTTTCCCCTAACTTCTGTATCTTCTAGGATCTTTACAGTGGTCAGGTGAAAGAGATTGGTAAGAAGGACAAGGGGTTGTATCTACTGCTTACTAGGTGATATATTCAATCATGATCCAGCTCAACTAACGAATAAAACAACTCCTCAACAAGTGTCTGAGGTGAAATCTGTACATAAATCTGCTATATCTGGGAATAAATTTGCTTGTATGGATAATGAACATTCTAAATCTAGTGTACTTTAGCATAGAAGGTTGGGTCATACACCTATAGATGTAATCAAGAAGTACACAACTCTAAGTAATCTGAAGGACAGTCATACACACTGAACTTGTATGTCCTTTAGCCAAGCAAACAAAGTTACCTTACAAACTAAGTACTGCTACCTCTAATGTTGTTTTTGAACTGGTTAATTGTGATGTATGGGGGCCCTATAGGGTACCTACATATGACAGTAAAAAGTTCTTTGTTACTATTGTCGATGATTATTCTAGGTTTACCTGGATTTTCTTACTTGTCTCTAAGTCTGATACATTGGTTATTCCGAAAGATTTTCTAACAAAGGTGAAGAATGTGTTCTCTACATCAGTTAAGACTCTTAGAACTGATAATGGTAGTGAATTCTTTAATCATGAAGTTCACAGTTTATTGTCATCCATGGGTATTATTCATCAAAGTACACTTATACACCTCAGCACTGATTTAGTTGTGGTGTTGGTTTATGTGGATGATCTACTAATCACAGGCAACAATGTGGTGCTATTGAACCGGACAAAAGCAGATTTGCAGAGAAACTTTAAGATGAAAGATCTAGGTTCTGAAGTTCTTTCTGGGCATTGAAGTTGCTAGATCAAAAGAAGGTATAGTTATGTCTCAAAGAAAATATGCCCTGGAACTCATCTCTGAGTCAGGGATAGGGGGAGCTAAGCCAGCAAGCACACCCCTTGAGCTGAATCAGAAAATAACCTCTTATGAGTATGACAAGGTTGTAGCATGCATATGAAACTCAGAAGCAACAGATGCAACACTCAAGGATCCATGCAGCTATCAAAGGCTTGTAGGGAGGCTACTTTACTTGACTATGACCAGACCAGACATAGCCTTTGTGGTTCAAGTCTTGAGTCAGTATATGCATAGTCCTAAGGTGTCTCACATAGAAGCAGCCTTGAGGGTTGTGAGGTACATAAAAGGGGCTCCTGGGCTAGGACTCTTTATGCCAGCACAAAATGCAAATCCATTGTCTGCATACTGTGACTCTGACTTTGATGGATCGAATAATATAAGAACAAAAACCGTATCGCAATATCTCGATGGATTCAAGGCAGCATCTTTCCACGAAACGGGTAGACTTTATCACCAGAGAGTAGAGTCAAGGTAGACTTTTTATTTTTATTTTCACCCGTTTGATATGATTGTTCAAAAAATTTCTATTTGGTTTAGCCGATAAACCGTCCGATAATCGCATGATAATCATTAACTCGATACCAATCCGCCCATTGTCTTATTGGATGGCTAGTGGATTACTATATTTATAATCCGATAACCAACAAGCCGAACCGTTAAATGTAATTATCCGCCCGATCCGCCCAATAAGCACCCCTACTAAAAATAGGCTAAGCAAAGGCGGATAAGAATACAAATTTTATGGGTTTAATTTTTTAAATTTTTAGTTTTGAGCTTATTAATTTTTTAAAGCTTTGGGCTCATATCTACTATTTGATGTAATTTTAGTAGATTTTTACACATAAAATTTATGTTCTGCATCGAAAGTTATGGGTCCACTTAAACTTGTTAACTTTAATACTACATACGCCCCTGAGTCCAAGAACTCCACTTGGGACCAGTCTCGTATTAGATTATGTTATATGTACTATTAGTATAAAAAAATTACACTATCGATCACGCGCAAAATATATACCGATAATAATCTATCTATATTATATTAAAAGGAGAGTAGTATGCATTGTGGTTAAGCCAAGTGGCAAGCTAAAATGAAGTCACTTGGCAATTGTAGGACAACATTGATTATTAGAAATTATAAATGGAAACATAATTAAAGGAAGTAGTTAATGAATCTTATACATAATCTAAATATATCGTAGACAAATCTAATCTCTCTCTCTCTCTTTATATATATTGATTCACTCATAGATTTTCTTCTAAATTAGCTAGAAATATGAAGGTAAAAATTAATTAAAAAACTAAAATAGAAAAAAATAAAAAATATAGAAAGACGTAAATTGAGAT